AGTTAGAGCGATACGCTTGACCAACGAGGATACGCATTCTTGTATAATTGGTAGAATTTTTGTTAAGTGTATGCAATTGTACATATACTTGTGCAATATTTTATGATAAACTGATCTTAATTATTAGTCCATCAAAAATTGTTATCAAATACCAAACAAAAATAACTGTAAAACTTTCTAAATTTATTGTTTGAAAATTTAATGCAAATAAATCACCAACAAATGTTGTGTTTGTAAAGTAAATTACCACCAACCGGACTACAGTCTATATATATATAATTGAACGAAGTTTATCAAATAAAAGAGACAAGAATTTCGAACGACAATGACAAAAATGTTGGCGATTTTGTTAATAGAAGTTCAGAGTTTTTATAAATACATTTTACCTAGAAAATGTCGCGAAATATGGTTTTGTTGAGAGAGTTTTTAATTTTAAAATGTGAGGTAACTAATGACAACAATAATAATTGAGTTGCAAAATGGCTATAGTATTTTTTTCACCAAAATGGTTTTTTAACAGTACATTTTACAGTATATTACGCTAAAAATGTGGGCTTGGGGTATAATGTATGTTCATGACTTATGGGGATTTTGGCTGCTGTTCAAATTCGATAGTAGGAGGTTTTTCTTTATTGTTTAACACAGCACGGTAGTGGTTGGAGGACACAGCAATGGCGTTTAACTAGATGTCACAGATAAAGTTAGCAAATTACAGGAAATCGATACAATATACACAATTAAGGAAATTATTTGTTTTAATAAAACCTATTTTTAAAAAAAAACTTAAAAACCATAAAGCGTCGATAGTTTTATATTGTATACAGGATATACCTTGATGATTTGATAGATTTAAATAGATTTTATTTAAAATCTTGTCAGATCATCGTGAAACGCACCCTATATCATTATAGTAATATGTTCATTATAGTAATGATATTATAGAGATATAGTGATACAGTAATTTGCATAAATATTATTTTAGTCATTTTTATTAGAAAACAAAAATGTCCAGGGTATATTCAGATATTTCGTCGGTTCTTTGTTAGTAAGTAGTTTAGTAAGCAGTAAGGCGTTTATTATTAGAACCCATTGAAATGATTGTGTTAAATGAAGCATAACTATGCAAATGTAATAACGCGTTAACTGTACAGTTGTGTTTGTTTAACATGTATTTTTTCCGAGAAAAATAAATGTAATGAAAAATTCAACAAATTCACGGTGCAAAGGTTTTTCAACGCGCTTAACAACCACTATAAAAAAACATGTCCAGAGAAAAAAGTCGAGAGGACAATGTAATTAATATTAATATTTCATGGCACAATAAATTAACAGAGTTCCGAGTACAATATTATGGATGCAGCATCGTGATAAAATAAGAGGTCTTGCTGTAAATGGAAATAATCACAGAGAAGATAATGATATTAATATATAAAGCTGAAGGCAATTCATTTTTAGCATTGAAAAATTGCACAGCGATATAATGTATTGTTGTTGTATGGTAGGAGTAATGAACATGTCATGAGTTAAACGTAGAAGGGAAATGAATTAAGGCCTGGGCGCGAACACTGCTTTTGCCTGTGAATAATTGAATTTACAAATGATTGCATTTTGTATTCATTAGGTATATATACATACGTGTCGACTGTACAACAGTAAAACTGTAACATTAGCAAAAACACATCATTCGGGTTAATTGAATAGTCGTTTTGGACATAAATAATATCACTATCATATTTTGTCATAAGTAATAATTTCTTCAGTATACTTATAGACATAGTAAACTGTAGTATACACACATTTTTTGTATATCATAATAAAACCCCTAATTATTAATTATTTTAGATTCTTTTATTTATGTTTAAAATGAATAGAATTTAAGATCAGCAAACCATTGATAAACAACTGAATAATGTTATTTATATTTCTTTTTGGTACATAAAAAAAAGTATTCACCCGAATGTCTACAATAGCCGTTGTTTTCTTGTGTATGATATTGTTAGTAACCCATCATGTATATATTATAGGAAAAATGTCCGTTTGACGTGCCCGTTGCAATATAAACTTATGTACTTACTTCCGGTAGATTTTCCGTGAGGAAACATAATATTAAATGCAAATCTCGACTTTTTATGTTTATCGCTTAAGCGCGCATATATAGGTCAATCGAATGAATAGAATCATTATTATTCCACTTGGATACAATACAAATATATATGTCTATTATATATATATATATATATAGTAGTATAAGTCTATACTACTAAAACTTATGTAGCAAGCATATATATAAATATATATTCCAATGAAAACACTAAACTACTATAGTGTACTAAACGAATAGTAGCAATATCTTAAAAAGGATAAATTAAAGAATGGTTGTTATCAAATTTTGAATTGCTCATGTTTTTGATAAATGAAAAAATAGAATATTAAAAAAAAGTATAATTATTAGTAGGTAGTTAATAACATAGCGTGAAAAATAATAAAGCGTGGTATTGATCGCATAAAACAGCTATTTTTATTTTAGTATTTTAATCAAAACATTTGTTGTGGATATAAGTTATGGCAAATATTTATAAGAAAAATACATCTACTTTTATAATAAAATATGTCAAATGCCACAAAAACTCAATTTTAATTTCATGCAGGTAATGTAGAAATTTAACTCATTATTTTGGAATCGAGATAGTTTATGTATCAATATAAACTGAAATATACTTGATTTGAAATCCAATAAATTTACTATGACAGAATAGCAAATATACAATGCTAATACATGCTTTTTATAGTTTCTGACAATAGTAATTTCTCCTATTCATAACGATCATCCTAAAAATATTTTTTTTGTTTTTTCTTGCATAAAACTATTTTTTTTTTCAACGTATTATCTAATGTTGTTGTACTATTTTTAAAAAAATTGTACACTTATAATATTAAACCAATTCATTAAGAACGACGTCCATTTGTTAATCTAATATATTATATTAAGCTAATCATTATCACCTATTTCTTCATTTAATTAAATTCCATTTTATTTGTTTATTCTAAAAGGATACTCACGTTGTAAGTTCCTTAAATGTTTATTTATGTATGTTACCGTGATAAATTAAACAGTAATTTACTTTGGATATACCTCCTACACGTCGCGTCTTACTACGTGAAAAGAGTAACAATGATAACACGAGAGACTAATTCTACGCGAGTACAGTGTTCGTGAGAAACAGAAGTATACTTACCCAAGTGTAATTGGGTCAATAAAATGGGTATTTCTGAAAAAAAGTTTTAATTATAATAATTTTAGTAAAATTATAAATGAGCAGTCTAGAATCAACAACTTCTTTTTTAAAATTGTTTTGTCAAATATTTAATCATTCGATTATTTTACAAATTAACATGTGATTTAAAACATAAAAAGCTTGGTGAATTCGTATATTTTGTGTATTACTTTCATAAGATGAAATGTTTATTATAAAAATGAATAAATAAATTAGTAGATATTTAATATACTATTATATTCCTATAAATTAAATTTGATTGTGTCGAATACAAAAAATGTCATCAGTAATATACAAATAATTGTCCAGGTTTTGTATGGCTTGATTAATCAAATTATTTAATTAAATATATAAGTCTAATCATAGATATGGCTTTAAACGTTTCATTCTAGAAAAAACTTAAGCAACACTTGTGATTATTTATAGTAAATACATAAAATAATGAAATATTCAAATAAACCCTCCAAACAAATGATTTGTAATTAAATTTTTTTTAGATATTTCATCATTTTTATTATTTACTATTAAATGTTTTACACTGTAATAATTTTAGCATTTTTATCTTGGGTTATAGTTAATAATATTTTAACCAACGTTTGCTCATATTTCTCGAATTCCAGTCTAATTTTCATCCATGGTTCAAATTAAGGAATATAAGTTTATAGGGGCATAGGGCATACCTAATTTTTAATGTCAAAACAAAATATTGACTCAGATTCATCGAGACAGAATGTCTTATAGTTAAAATACCATAGACAAAACTTAAAAGTTCTGTACATTTTGTAGAAATTTAGTACATTTTTGAAGGAAGAAATCCAAAAAATAGTATTTCAGTGTAGTTATGAAGAAATAAAATACAAAATGATTATATTATAAAACCAACAGTCAGTAATTCCTTTTTTTTGCATGATTCTAACAATAACTAATAAAGAGATAATAATGTAAAGTTAAATTCGCAGAAATGAAGTTGTTAAATCATTCATGAATTACTATGAAATTTCTAAAGCGAAGTTAAACTACACACAACTTCTTTGAAACATCAAACAACAATGTTAATAATATATTATGTATTCCTTTCAAAAGAATTATATAATAAAAACTTTTAACAAACTTCTTAGGTCTACGCTTATGGGGCCTCTAGATCTTATTTTTGGTCGAAAACAACTCATTCAATTTTAACCTTACTCTGAATGCAAAATATTTTTTTAAGAACTTTATCTCCTGAAAATATTTTTGCTACTATTTATATATAATAATATTTTTGTTTAATATCGTAATGTTTTGAATAAAGATGAAAACTAATTTAATAAACGTTTTTAGATTACGTCTTATTTATGATGATTTATTCATTTTAATAAAATTTGTTCTATTAATTTTATTTTTAATGTATAATCCGTGTATACATTTATCATTAATGATACACGCCCAGTTTACATCGCTGAATATTTCGGCTACTGATCCCTGTTACGGGATAAACGTTCATTATACGAGTTAAACGAAGTATTCTTGGCTGATCCCTTCGATATATCGTGCAGCTATTCGTAAATATCGTCACCGTTTAATGTCTATAGCAACTTCTCTTCTGTACAATGATACGCGGTCTTAATGACACGAAATTCTCGGTAACTCGTTCGTGTTCGGTTACTCGGTTAATTATATAAAGTAGGTTTCGGTTGTGTTGAATCAGTCAAAACAAGACAAATCTATACTAGTAGACCGACTTACCCGTCCTATATATATATATTATAACACGCACTAACAGCGCTATGATAAATTTCCCGAGTCACGTACACCACAAGTCACAACCGCTACAGTACTTGATGCGATTTTAAAGATACAATAAATATCGCGTTATGGTATCGCGAACCAAACGAATGTACACTACACACACTACACACACACACAAGAGCGTCCGGTTACCGTGAAAATTCAGAGCAAACTGCACTCCGGCGTCGACCACGACAACGTGTAGGCGCCACACAGTCCTCGAACGGCCGGGGACGGCACATGATTTGGGTAAGGACTAGGCGGACCGCACAAACATACAGGACCCGAGTTTTAAAAATTTACGACACTTTCGTTTATTATGATGCAAAATCCATTCGGGGTCCACATACACACTGGCCAAACTTATGGCTCCTTAAATGTTTCATTACATATATACATTTTCGCGAAAATATCGGTCCCGAATTATGTTTTCGGTTGTTAAAAAACCGAGCGAAGAGTCTACTTAACGGTGATGTATAAATACAAAATTGACAACATTTATGTACAAAAATGACAACATTCTTTTCTAGTCTTGAAGTTTTACCATCGTTGCCGAAAAGGTGTTGGTTTTTCAACTAAGTGTTTTTATTTACTTTCGAGTGTGGACCCGAGGTGACTTTTTGATTTCTCCGTATAGCAAATCTGTAGATTGGAAATAGTACCCAAAATGTACTTTATATTTAGCTATAAGTCAAAAAAAGTTTGTCTCGTCCCCATTCCAAACCCAGAACAACGCCATAGACTGTACGCATTTTTTAACTTGAAATTATGGAATACAAAAACTTTTTTAAAACAATCAAATAACTTCAAATTTGTGTGTTGTGTTCATTAGATATATAGTCCAAAACCAAGAAAATATCATTAGCCGTTGCCCATTACTTTAAAAGATATTAGTTTTAAAAACAAGATTTAAATCTTTTGTTTTTTTATTAAAACTCTTGTGTCTAGAAAAATTAATAAATACATTTTTTACAAGTGATTAATAAAATGAATATAGGATACCATTTAATTAGTTACAAAAATATCTAAAGTTTTTTACTTTGAAGGACACGACGCTCTCAGATTTTTTATTAAATCTACACCTAGACGGACTGGAATTGTCATCTGACCTTTTTTTTTATAAAAATGATTGCAAGATAAGATTATTATTTTCAGCAAAAAATACTTGCCAACAACGAACCTATCGCACTATAATTTACCTTAAAGCAAAATTAATAAGAGATAAAACCTTTTACTGTTTTATCCTGATATTTTGTAAAATATTTCCAAATATTTAATTAAACAAATTATTTACCATCGTCAGTAAAGGATTCGGCTTGTACGGATTTAAAGATTTTTTTTAGGAATTTCAAGGATTCAAGCTCAATCAAGCGCATAGTTTTGAATAAAATATCCCAATAAACATTAATAATTGTTCATACGTTTTTATTATTATTACCACCCATACAAATTTTCGTTTAAAAACGCATATTGTGATCATTCGTAAAAACAAAGCATTACCTGGTTGCATCACAAATTTGGATATTGCACGGAACGCAAAAGCTCATTAATATAACATATTGTTTTGTTATGTGCATTAAAAATAAATAAAATCCAAAGGAATTTGTACTAGCTATATAAAGTACTAACTACTATGTATACATTGTGCCTTTAAATAAATTTCCTATAAAGTTTAATAATGTGTTCGTTTATTATCGACAAAATAGCCATTTCTACGTTTTATAATCAGTGTATTAACATTAAACGGTTAAACTTAGGTAGGTACAGACAAATTTATGAATATAACTAAAAGATATTCGGGCGTTTCCATCATTATTGATTAAAATAATATGTTTTCTATATTTTTATATGAGGAGTGGAGCATAGTAAAGTAGATCTTTATTCCTCCCTTGGATATTAAGTAATAGAAAAATATTCACTTAAAAATACCAAAAATTGATTACTAGTATTTACATGATATGATTAAATTTAATGTATATAAAATATAAATAGTATATAAAACAAAGAAAACAAATATTATTAATTTTATACCTAAAATAATATTTTTTTTTTGAAAAATGTTTTTACTTAAACAGCTAAGTTATTTGAAAATATATATTTTTAGTATCGAATGTCTGAAGTAAAATTGTATCAAAGCGTTATGTGTTCTTAATAATGATCTTATATATATTTATTGCACTTTATATTATTGTTATCAGACATTGTTATTATAAGATAAAACTTTAAATTTATTGGTTAACTTTGATTTTCCAGATATATATAAAAACATATATATGTGAAAAATAGATTTAGTAAGAAACTTTGAGAAATATAGCGCTTGCTGTTAAACACAATATAATTTAATATATACAATTAATTTTATATAATTTCATTCACTTGCTAGTAGTAGCAATGTAATACCAGTAAAATACATAATATTAAAATAATTTTTCATAGTACATTCTATATGAATTTTTTAAATCCCCGATATCTCTAGACTACAGCAACCATAAAGTTTTTACAAAAACCAAGCCATGGAATCAAAACAAAATTTTAACCGTAGGTGTTAAATAACTGTTTATTTTGCTGCCTTTATCGATGGTTTAAAAAAAATATCGTGGGTTTCGATAATAATTGAATTTCCATAGAGTTTGAAATTGTGTATGAGTTGCGTTTTAAAACATATTACTCCGTTAGTTTAACAAATAACACGAAACGGACAGACCAATAATTGGGAAAGTACCTTTACACAGACACCAGACTAGTGTTCCGTCAGTTTCTTAACATAGAACTATACCGTTTATATTATACATTTATTAATGCATGCAATGCAATTAAATTACAATCTTGACATTGAGCAGACCATTATAATTTGATATAGTTTCTATATAGCTTTGAAGAACTGTCTAAATAGTTAAATCTCATAAATATAAATTAAAATGTATTAATTATTTCCATTACTTTTAATAGTAGATTTCATACTGAATTCATAAATTCTATATTATATTTATTATTTACATATAGAAAAACATTATTAGTTGAATTGTTGTCTGAGGATCAGTGTATAATATTGTAAAAATACATTATAATTTTGATTACAGTTCATGTTTAAAAGAAGTGAAAAATGTGTTTCAGCATTTAAGAGTATTCTGGTAACTGATTAAAACTACTAACTCTACTTACTTGCTGCTAAAGCAATACTGTTTCTATCTAAATTAGTTAATACAACTAAAAAAGAATAAATTACACTATGGCACAATGTAAAAAAAGAACCACAACATTGTAACTACTTGCATTTTATAGTGCCACTATTCACCGATGTAGCAAAATTGCCTATAATAAGTGCCGTATGAAATATTTTGAATTCACGCCGCAAAGTAATAAAATACTTCAAGCGAATTCCATTTTTGAAATTCCATATTTTACTTTTTGTACAAACGTTAAAACAATATGTACTGACTATATATTTGTTGTTTTAACTTAGAAATGCTAGTGCAATATTTTCCAAAATTTCCATCTAAGCATCCATTTGTCATGTCGTTTTTGTTTTTAAACAGAGAACAAAAGTCAAATTAAATATGTCCTGTTGGTTTCTATACTTCGGTTTTAAATACCTCCATGAAATGACAGTGTAGTATATATTAATTTATTATGTATGAAATAGAATACAACATTTTGTTCGCGATAAGGGCCACTACATGTGTTTACGTGGCACTGATAAATAATAACAATAGACAGAAACCTGAGTGGAAATTCACTCAACATCATATTTTTGTAATCGATTCTAATGTGCGTGAATTCATGAAATAAAAACATATTCACAAAATGGTATTTTCTTCCGCGTTTTGACAGTAATAATGGGTGTACAGTTAACACTAGTGACAAACACCTCACTTAAAAAAGTTATGATCTGTGAGTTATAAGGATGAGACGTTTAACATAAAAAAAAACATGAATATTACAAAAACTATGTCCTATATAGTCACCATTTTGTATTACGTAAAATAGAAAACCGTGTTAAACACTTCAGACATCTTAGTTTATATCATTGGGCAGAGCTCAAGTAAAACAGATTAGGTAGCCGGGTAATTCTCTTGGGTTACCCCGAGCGCTAAACTCGCTTGCTAGGTTATAAATTATGGTTAACATTCTCAACTTAATTATATACAACACAATATACACCATAAGCACATGTACTTAAATAAATATGCATGAAACAATATTTCTAATCTAAAACCATGGTTAAGACAAAGACAATTAAATTTGAAAATGATAAAATGACTGAAAATATCGATTAAGTACTACTATATGGATAGTGTTAGAAATTATCGTCATATTTAAGTAAAAAAAAAAAAGAGTGCATATTTCAAAATACTCATATTGTATACTTAAACGTTTTAAAATAGTCAGGGTGAAGTAATTTTAATGATCTTTGACATAAATCGTATCATCTTCCTAGCACCAAATAATTTCTCTCTCATCACCAAAATAAATTCAAAATACATCAAAGTACATTAATTGTACATTTTTTGTCTCTCTAAAATATTATGCTTCTTAGATCATTTAAAGAAACTAAATAATCCTAGTTTAAACTCATTTTACTATAGTAGTCTTGGTTAAGTAATTGTACTATAGTAATCTTGGTGATCGCATCACTTGAGGACGGCTGGACCGATTTGGCTAATTTTTTTTTTGAAATGTTCGTAATAGTCCGAATAAGCTTTTTACGGGAAGAAAAATTGGAAAAGAGTCCCGGAAATGTGGAATTTTTAAAATTTTTAATTTTAGTGTATATTTATTCCCATAGATGAGAAGCTGACATATGGATATTTTGACAGCTAATTACATTTACTCATAGTTTCTGACAAAAAAAGACATAGTTTTACAATTCACATTTCATAGTTTACATAATTGCCCTTTTTAGTCTTCCATTTTAGTTTTGAAACCAGTCGCGTGACAATGAATTTGAGCAAATGTTGCGTTAAATACTCATCGGGCTGCAGTCCGTTACAACGCGGTAATTGATTACTGTGTAGATCAATGTTAATTTATAAAATATGTAAGTTGATGAAATTTTAACATGAAAGGATTATAATTAATGAATAAATGGATACGGTATATGTAGTTTGTTTGGGTCGTTTATTTGTTAAAAGAGTAGAAATTATTAGAGCCAG